CCCCAAAACCCCAAAACCCCAAAACCCCTGAATAAAGTAACAAGAACTAAGAATTGATTGATTGAAAACTTTATAATTCAATATTAAGTTTAATGAGTGTATTGAAAAACTTTGACATGGAAATGAAATACATTCCCATTGAAAGAGATAAAAGAAGGTCTAGATAAGGAACCAGAGGTATACTTCAGAGAGTACCGTCAACAAAAGATAGTTTATTCAAGAAACAAGTCTAAATTTAAGATCCATTTCAATAAACAAAATAGCCATTCAGATTCAAATAACCTGAAGCACCCAGCGTATAATATGGAGACATTGCAATGCAACCGTCTAAGTTTGGAGATACATACGTTGAGATTCCTCCTCCGCCAACTCCTCCAACACCTCCGACTCCAGAAGATTAGAAATATGAAAAAATAAAGGAAAAGCATTTCACTACTAAAGATGGCAAAAGAGTTAAAGGTTATTCAACTCTCCCACCTGAAAAAAAATTGCGTAAGAAGCTTGAAAACTTCGAACTTAAAGAAGCTGAAAATCATAGGATGCTAAATTGGATAGATGTTGCTAACTTTGATGATTTTCAAACTCCGGCTGGTATGGCTTCAATCAAGGGTCTCTAAAATAATGATAGAGGTGAAAAATGGGTTAAGAGAGAAGATGATCTTAATCATCCTCTTTATTATAGTACAAATCAATACGATAAATATGATGATGCTTAATTCAAGTTCACAATGAGTAACAGACCACAAGGACCAATCAAGGTCCCAAACTTAAATCATGTTCCAGATGATGATCCTCTAAAGTATCACGATCCACAAAGTACTAAGAAACTCATAGTAGCTTAGTAAAATATGAGATCAGCAATACCATAAACATATCAAAATTATTAAAGAAGAAAAGTATAAGAATTATATGGTGCACCAAGAATGAGAGATGATGAGGAAGAGGAGGAGTAAGAGTAATTGTTGACTAGAACTCCTATTTTAGATGAAGATGCTGAAGAGCGTAAAACTGGAACAATCGTTGGAGGTCATGAGGTTGATTAAGGCATGATAGGAACAAAGACAAATTTAACAGCTTATCCATTATCAAAGTAATCTGCAATCGCTGGATCTAAATAATAGACAGATAAATTTGGACTCACTTACAGACCAAATACTAAAAAATCAGAAGCAACAACAGCAGCCGAGAGTAAGTATAAGTTTACTGATAAATCCGCAACTGAATTTGCTAATGGAGGCACTCAGGTTTATTTAACTAGGGATTAAGAACTCTTATCAATGAAAATTAAGAGTAAAGGACAGGACTATACTCTTGGATAAACTCGAAGCGAAGCTAATAGATATGAGCACTTTGGAACATCTAGATATATAAATGAAAAAGAGAAGGCAAAACCTACTAGCTATTCTGTGTTTCAAAATCCTTTCCTTAGTTCTGCTATAACAGGCTATTATAATTAAAATATACCAACTTAAGTTCCAACAACAACTCATCTTAGAAATTAATAATTGAATAAATTTATGCCAAATAGCTAAAGCAGTGGAGCCTTGAATGGCCCAATGTAACCTAGATTATAGAATGACGATCAACATGAAAGTGCTTTTGATGAATATCAATATAGAAATGGCAAGAAATACATACAACCTTTAAAATAATATAATAATCATCCTGCATTTCACAAGCATGATGATTATGATTGGGTATTTAAGAAATATGATCCTGTCAATATTAATAAAGGCCATGATCTTTTACATTGGTAAGATCCCTATCCTATGATAGAAAGCTAATAACTTGGAAATTTAATGAGAAATGCAACAATTTCTACTCTTCATAGGCACGATCCTTTCGAAATTAAATTGTTACAATACGATCTACATCATCCTGATTCAAGAAGTTCATATAATTTAGCTCAATAGACTCCGTTCTCAAAAATCCCAATGATCGATTCCAGAACAACTCATTTAAAAGAAGGTTAGATGAGATGGCATTTACCAAAGCCAAATGATGCTGTACTTTTACCAGCTTAAAGGGAGGCTATTAATCATAGATTTTCACATTTCTATCTTTACCTCTACTAGGATTAATTCAAAGAGATAGTCGTTAGATTCGATCTGTATAATGATACTTTAGAGAAATTCGCAATTCCAGGTTTACCCTGCCTTAATCCTGGGACTATTTAAATATCCGCAACGTAGCTATTTATTTGTGGTGGGATTTAAAAGCACGGAGGGGATTTAAAGAAAAGAGGCTAGCCTTCAGGATTTACTGCCATTTTTGACATTGAAAAAGGTTAGTTAGTAATAGTAAGTGAAATGAATCATGGAAGGCATTCTCATGGTCTCTGCATGCTAGATTAAGAAGTTTATATACTTGGAGGTGTTACAGCAAAAGAGTATTCTTGCGGTCGAATGGAAAGATTTAATGTTGTATCTAAATCATGGCAAAGTTTACCAGCCAGTAGATTTTCCAGATTGAATCCAAGAATGTGTGCATCCTTCAACTCAAAAATAATCTACGTTTTCGGGGGTGTACCTGATCATAGAGATGCTAATAAATAAGTTGAAATGCTGATAACTGCAACAATGGACTGGAAGACAATGAATGTTGAATTACCTATTGAGTTTAAGGGAAGTCGACTACATTTTTGCATGATGGTTGAGGGAAAATTTTATATGCCTCCATTAGCTGTTGCCTAAGTTGAAAATTCCTTATTTAATGATATTGATGACAAAATTATTCTTTTTCAATATGGATCTGTCAGTGATGTCACTCCAGATATAACAGTACTATATTTAAATGGAGATGAGGGGAGAGTTGCGGAGCTTCATTATGATAAAGCTAACTCAGATATGAGTTCTTATGAAAAGAGAGATGTAGTATTCGACCCTCTTTCAAAGAGGATTGTTACATTTACTGCTATTGATCCATAGGTATTTGATTACATATCTTTGCATGAAGATTTTTTCATGTGGAAACAAGGAAAATTTCTATAGCATTATAATCATTGATTAAAGGAGCAAAATTGTGTTAAATATAATAATCCATAATTTTAAAATTTTTAGGATTAAGGGGTTTTGGGGTTTTGGGGTTTTGGGGTTTTGGGG